ACTGGACAATTTTTTTAGTATTTTTTTTTTTTGTAGAAATGGGATATTGCTTTGTAGCTCAAGCTGGTTTTGAACTCCTGCCCTCAAAGGATCCTCCTGCCTCAGCCTCCCAAAGTGCTAGGATTACAGGCATGAGCCACTACACCCAGCCCATTTTGGCATTTTCCATTAAAAATGTTATTAACGATCAAGTATGATAAATATACAGCCATGGATCACTTGATAATAGGGATTTGTTCCAAGAAATGTCATTGGGGGATTTCATCATGTGCAAGCACCAGGGTCCTTAGACCTAAATTGTGTAGCCTACTACACATCTAAGCTATATTGCATAGCCTATCGCTAGGTTACAAACCTGTACAACATGTTATTGTACTGAACACTGTAGGTAATTGTAACACAGTGGTATTTGTGTACCTAAACATATCTGAACTTAGGAAAAGTACAGTAAAAATACATTATAATCATATGGAACCACCACTGTATATGTAGCCCATCATTGACTGAAACAGTGTGCTGACTGTATCCATAAAAACTGCTGGGGGGAGGAGGATGGGAGTCTCGGTGTGTCACACACCTTTTGGGTGCCAGACACAAGAGGGACTTTACCTAACAAATGCAATCAGTGTAAACTGGTTTCTTGTACCCTCAATGATTCCCCAATAATAAAAATAAACAAATACATCCAGGCGTCCTCAAACTACAGCCTGCGGGCCACATGCAGCCCGCCTAGGACATTTATCTGGCCCACTGGGTGTTTTTGCTGCCACGGCTGCCTGTCCTGCTTAGCAGCCAACTCGTCCCAGGGCCCATAGTCCAGCCCTCCAAGGGTCTGAGAGACGTGAACTGGACCCCTGTTTAAAAAGTCTGAGGACCCCCTCAGTCATAAACAAAACTGCCTTGGCGTTTTCTCAATAGTTTCTAAGTGAAAAGGTGTCCTCAGACCATGAAGTTTGAAAACTGTGACCTCAAGTAAACTTAAAATCCCTTCACAAATATACAAAATGCTTTTGTAGTATAACATTATCAATTTTACTTAGAAACAGAAACAGAAACTTTATACTACCTGGTATAAAGTAATATTGTCAATAAATACTCATGAACTTTCCAAAAGGTCAGAAAACCTATTTTACACTCCCTATGGGTACCAAATAACCTAGATAATCATATGTAAGCTATTCAAGTGATCTGCTATTATTGCAAAATAAGCTTTCTTCTAGAGATAATGATTTCTTCATGTTAATTATTGGCTAAGAACTGAGCATGTTGAAAATAAAATTGGGTGCGTTAATTTCTCATCACAAATCCTGGGTATATACTTGATTGAGAAATGCTCAGCTGATTGTTCCTTATAAAATTATTCAAAATGACATGTTTTATTTAGAATTATTCATTGTATGTGATATTTGTACTTCTTAGAGACAAAGATAATAATCTCCCCACAAAGTTGAGACTAGCAAATAAAGACTAAAACCTTTTTCTTTCTCTTTTTTTGAGACAGAGTATCACTCAGTTGCCCCAGGTAAAGTGCTATAGCATCATAGCTCATAGCAGCAACCTCAAATTCTTGGGGTCAAGCAATCCTCTTGCCTCAGCCTCCTCAGTAGCTGGTGCTTGCTACAAAGCTGGGTAGTCTTCTTCTTTTTAGTAGAGACTCCTGAGAAACATGAGCCATCATGTTACGCCAGTTTCTGTATTCTTAAATGAAAAAAAAAAAAATACTTGGCTTTCTTAATGGGATTTTACAGACTGAAGTAGGACTTGCCAGATAAATATAAAACTGGATGATTTGTACTGCATACACAGTAGTAATGATAGCAGACTCCACACCGAGCCCTTTGTATGAGTCACTACACAAGTTTTGAGACAGATTGTGTTATGGGCTATTATTTCATTTCCAAAAAAATAGACAACAGCGTCCTCACTCACTGGTCCAAGTTGCTAGAAAGGTTTGTTTCCTTCCACGAAGATTTTGTTTAATTTTTGCATATCTCAAAACTTTGTAATGATTCACATAAATTCAACCCTCACAAACTGCAGAAGTGAGAGGTTAAGAAATCTATCCAAAACCACGTATCAACCTGCAGAATCATCAGAACCAGGTGTCCGGCCCAAGTAACATCATTTTCAGGCTTATAAACAAAGATCTACCTACCGTCTTCTGTATCTACTGCAAGCCCTTTAGTCTCCATTGGTAGATTTAGACTCTATTCTCAGAAAATAGTCCTTACATATGCATTAAAATCTCCTAATCACAAAATATCTTGAAAATACCCAATGCACATCCTATGTAAAAGGTCGTAATTAATACTTCGCAAGCAGCTCGACAAATGCATGACAAGATACTTGGCAGCACATTCTTATAGCTCTGACATCCTACTTAAGGGTAATTTCTCCATAGAAAAGTTTGATTAATCAGCCCACTACTTTCTGCCTGGCTGCTAACAGGGCTTGAAAATCTTGCTTCATGATTAGTATTTCGAATAGATAAAATAGGTTTATAAAGTTAAATCCAACATACAGCATCAGCATATGGTAGCTTTTCCCTATCCACTTTTTAAGTACAAAAGTAACAGGTTATCTCCTACGTGTCTTTCAGGGTGAGTGATGAGAGTTAGTTTACCTCCAAACAAAATTTTAATTAGTCACACAAGAGAAAACCACTTTTAACTGGAAAACAAAGCAATACATTTCAAATAGGATTGTGCTTAACAGAAACTGTAATGTGCTGAAATAAACAGCTTTCCTAAGAGGTATTGTGAAATATAGGTATCAGATCAATAGTTTCCCACCTTTACCCTGACTTACCTCCAAGTATTATTAAAAATAAAAATTTTCCATGAATTTTTCATTAAATAAGCCTATCCTTATCCCCAATTGAGTGAAAAAAGGAGAGATGTTATACTATCAGTTCTACAATGAGTTGCCAAAGCAGTCAACATCTTCCTTCTACAAAAGCTTATGTGAGACACACAAAACTTATCCAGAAAACGTCAAAACACAATCTCTACTATAATTTTCCTTTAATGAAGTTCTCAAATCTCAGAATGATTTTAACTTGACATATTGGACATTAAACTTTGAAAGACTATTAAAGTTATTGCTTTAAATTAGAAAAAAATATGGTCAAAACTTTCTTTCAAAAGAGTTTATTATACAGCTTTTTTTTTTTTCTTTTTTGGAGACATTCTGTTGCTCAGGCTAGAGTGCCATGGCATCAGCCTAGCTTATAGCAACCTCAAACTCCTCGGTTCAAGTGACTCTCCTGCCTCAAGCCTTCTAAGTAACTAGAACTACAGGTTCTCACCACAACACTCAGCTAATTTATTCTATTTTTAGTATAGACAGGATCTCACTCATGCTCAGGCTAGTCTTGAACTCCTGAGCTCAAGCAATCCACCTGCCTCAACCTCCCAGAGTATCAGGATTACAGGCATGAGCCATCACGCCTGGTCATATACAGCTATTCTCAAAATACATAACTACAGGGAAAACGTTCAAGCACACAGTAAACATCACTCTTTAAAACAACAGAACAAAAGCATAGGTTAAGATGTATGGCTTTTTTTGAAATTGTTAGGACTATACATAAATAAAGTCATTACTGTTTGAAAAAGGCATTTACAAAACTCCACTTCCAAAATTAACATTTTTATTAAATCAAGTTAAAAAAAGTTCACTGTAGAAAAGTCAACAAGGGTTTTAACAAAACCAAAATATACCTTTTTATACAATATATGTATATATTAGCAGCAAACTACTTCTGAGATTTTCTTTTATGTTCTTTTAGTTCTTTTGAAGAAAGCATAAACAATGTATATTAGTACAGAACATTAGCTAATCCATTCTTCATCCTTTGCCTGTGATTTAGGACTTCTACAAAATACTTTATGATTCTCATTAGTGAATACTAAGAACAAACCCAGGTTTGACTAAGAGAAGCAAAATAGAGTGGCTGGTAGAATCTGTCTC